CTACACCCTGAAGGCAACTACTTTGCTGCTCACAGCAAATTCTACCATGGATGTGATCACAGTCTCATCATGGGGAATAATTATATCCAACTGCCCAGCCATTGAAAACCACTGTCCAGACAACTTGACACACAACCTTAACTACCATGTCACCTGAGCAGCACAGGTGGGCCACTTGGAGACAGGAATGAGAGTATTTAGGGGATGATTTGTAGCTTTTCACACTGCCTTCTGTATGAGCTACTACATTTCCTGATCACCCAGGGAATTTGTCTATCTCTGTTTTTACAGCCTGGAGGTGCTATCGAACGACTGGACCACCTCAGGATATTAGTAACATTTTTTTCCTGGGCTTCAATAGTGCAATTCAGTTGGTCTATTGTTCAGAAAATATTGCTATGATAACCTATTCTGGCATGTATAGTGGTTACTTCCGAAAAACTCCTAAACCCATTGCCATCAAGTTGATTCCAACTCATAGCAACCCCCATATGGATTCCAAGGCTCTAAATCTTTACGGAAGCAGACTACCTTGTCTTTCTCCCATGAACAGCTGGTGGGTTCAAACTGCTGACCTGTTGGTAAGTAGTCCAATGCCTTAACCACAGTGCCACCAGAACTCCTAAAGTAGTTAAAGGAAAAAGAAGGTGGACTAAAAAAAGACTACTAAAACCACTATGTCACAATGCATTTTCAAAAGGCACTTGAAAGAATTAAGGGAAACAAATACATGTAGTGACATCGCAGCTTTTATTCCATTACAGAAGAGAGTTTAATCCAATTGGATTTATCAGAGGACAATTCTTTAAAGCAGGGACTGTTGGTGACTGTAATCCCTTGAGTTTGCACAAGAGTCTATAATGACTGCTGGATGTCTAATTTGGGGTCAGAACATAGCTTTTTTTTTTCAGTTTCTGTAGAGGTCCATTAATCTTTAAACCCAAGTTTCAATAGTTGTGAAACCCCATTTAAGGCTGAATGCACAAGCTCACTCTTTTACAGGATCTCCCCTCCAGAAGAGGACAAGAATCCCAAGAAATGTTTGTGTGTATCTACAAGTAAGACCTTTCACTGGAAATAGGAAAAGATCCTGTATTATTTTCCTATTGCTGCTGTAACAAATTACCACAAATGTGGCGACTTAAAAAAAAAAAACAAAAAAACACACAATTTATTTTACTCTTTGAAGGTTATAAGCCCAAAGTGGATCTTATGGAGTTAAAATCAAGGTGTTAGCAGAGCTGCATTCCTGTTGGAGATTCTGGGGGAAGAGTTGGTTTCCTTGCTTCTTCCAGCTTCTAGTGGCAGCCTGCATTCCTTGGCTCATGGCCTCTTTCTTCATCTTCCAATCTCTCTGCCCTTCCTTCTATTGTTACATCACTTTCTCTCCCTTTGGCCCTCCTGTTTCCATCTTACAAGGACACTTGTGATTACATAGGGCCCATCTGGACAACATTGCCCATCTCAAGTTCCTTAACTTAATTCACATCTGTAGAGTCACTTTGCTATAAAAGGTAACATACTCAGTTTCTGGAGATTAGGACATAGAAGAAACCTTTGGAAGGGGGGCATTATTCTATCACAGGAGCTCTGGTAGTGGTAAAGCATTTGGCTGCTAACCAGAAGGCCAATGGTTCAAACCCACCAGCTGCTCCATGGGAGGAAGATGAGGCAATCTCAATCTACTTCCATAAAGATTTACAGCCTTGGAAACCCAATGGGGGTCACTGAGTCAGAATTCACTCGATGGCAGTGTTTTTGGATTTTT